GATCAGTGTTGGGCAAACTGCAACCTATAGAGCCTTTTGGAAGAGCATGAGGAAAACAATGTTTATAAAAATTTTGCTTACTTCATTTTCTTCTCACTTGTTCATTCAAACTCTCTTATACATAACCATGATTAAGTATAATGTTTCTTGAAATTTGTAACCTTTTGTTGAAGATAACATTTTCAGCATTTTAAACAATTGGTGATTTTTCAGTAAAGATTATTATACATGTACATCCTTTTCTTTTAGAAACAGGAAACCATTTTTTTTCTGGAGAAGAAATATAAGATTGGTCATTGTAAAAGTGTGCACCTGATTAGAAAATTAAAAAAAATTTTTCATTCTATAAGCTTGTAAATGCCATTTTTGTAGAATTTTTTTTTTAATATTTTCAGGTATTTTTTGACTGTAGATTTGTTATTTAAAGTGTTCTATAGAGACTGGATCAAATGAAAATCCAAAGGAGCCAGATCAGTGGTGGAAAATGACACCTTTTTTATTTGCCAAAATTGGTCATTTTTCTTGAACCTAAGTCTCTTCAAATGGCAAAAACCTGTTGAAATTTTCAAACTCTTAGCAGAGTGTCTTCATTGATGCCAAAAGCTCACCTGGAGTGTGGTTAATCATTTAGGTTAAAATCCCCATGACAAAATCTGCCAAATCGCTTTTTGACAGTCTGAAGACCTGGAGTATGGTCCAAGTAAACCTGAATGTTCTTTTTTTTTTTTTTTGTTGCAGTTCCGATGCTTACTCCTTTCTAAAATTCATACAGCATATGGTGAAAGTTTAACTTTTAATCCTCTATCTTTAAGGCATTAATTTGTGGACAAAACTTCAACATTCAACAAAATCTGACATACAACTGAATGATGTAAGATTTCAATACAGAATACACCAAAATAAACACCAGTGTCGAGTTGCAGTCATTTTATATTAGCAATGAAAATCAGACACAAACTTTTGCAATGATTTGAGATAGAGATTTACATACACACTATTTTTTTTTCTTTTATGAATAAATTAGAAATAAAGCACAGATAGCACTGTCATTAGTTCAAGACTTCTGTTTTATTAATTATAAAAAGTCTTTTCTCAAAAAAAAAAAAAAAAAAAAATCTAGGGAAATTTTCTAGATGCTGCCCAAGATGACACTGGATATTTATAAATCTTGAAGTTGACCTTCATGATGTAAGACACCCTTGGTTATTTTCAGAAGAAAAATCTCTAATGTGTTATAAAATAAGGTTTATGAGATAATCTTAGTAATTGCTAGACATTTTGCCCTGAATATATCCTAATAATAAAGGTGGATCTAAAATTTTATATACAAAGGCATCTGATTTTTGCTTATCATCTGTTTGATTCTTGGTCTCCTTTAACTATCAAGATACATTCTTATGTAAATGCTTTTGCTTGCAAGCTATTGTTATCAACCAGAACCACTTATATTTAAGAAAAAAAAAATGTATATTCCACTTATATACATAGATGTGAAGATTTGAGTATGCACAATGATTCTGTATAAATTTCTATAAAAATAGTCAAGTGGTTTCCTTTTCAGAGGCTATTAATTGAAAATTTGAACTTGTGCTTCTTCCTTCCCCCCAACATAATGCTGTTAGATCCACAAAGGGGCAAAAAGCCAATGCCTCTTTTGTTCTCTATACCAGGAGCCATTCCTTACCTGATCTTTGTTTTTAATTTTGTTCTTTTCTGTTGCCTTCCATTGTGTTCCTTCTACAAATAGATAAGGATAATCGAACAAATTGCAAACAGTCAGAAGCTAAACTGCAGGATTATAAAAATAATCTCCTGATTAGTTGACCACTTAAGTGAACTGGATCCTTTGAGATAATAAAGACTTTAAAAAAAAAACAAAAAAAAACTATTGAAGCAAGCCTTTTGGAATCAGATAGCATGATGATGATGGTGGTGGTGATAATAGTGATATCAATATCAATAATGATTGGTTAACTGAGATCATGTGACTTGCTGCAGTTTGTATTGATTACCTCACTGCCACCCTTTCCCCTAATTCTCTTTTATGCTTTTCTCAAAATCCTACTCTGCTTTTAGCTAATCTGAAGAGCTACACTTATACAGTCAGATAATTCCTTAACAGACAATTGATTGGTTCTTTTTTAAAAAAAAAAAAAATCACCTTTCCTCTTTTGAACTCTTCTTTCTCATACATACTTATCTATCTGTATGTAAAATTTTATAAGATAGTTCCTTGCTTAAGAACCTACCTTGGCTTTAGAAGGTTGCTTGTATTTTGGTGGCAAATGCATGTGTAACAGACACAATTTGCATTTCTTAAAGTAAATGCAGCTGATATGGCAACAAATCTACTGTTCATTTTCAGTTCTTCCAACTGATATAGGGCGGGGGGAGATAACAAAGAAATCTGTCTGCATTTCAGACTGATATGGTGGAAGGGAGGGGAGCATGACAAATGTTTCTGCATTTTTTGATGATGTACGGAATTCCTGTATGCAGGCATATATGTATTCTAAATATTTTTGTGGTTTTCTACAACAGAAAGTTTTTTTTTTTTTTTTTTTTTTTTTTAAAAATGTCTTTCTTTATTTTTATTTATTTTTTTTTTCAAGTTTTCTATTCCTGGAGCAATAAGTGAGGCAGATTTACAGCAAAGAATATTTCAACTGCAAATACTTTTTTTTTTTCTTTTTTTTAAAAAACAGATCTGATGTCAAATTTCATTAAATGTAGGTCAAGGTTTTCACAATATGATTGGTATTAACCAAGTGATGTTAGTAAAATTTTCATAATATATGTTGATTTTTTTTTTTTTTTTTTTTTTTAAATATAGCTTAGATGTGGCACAAGGCCAAAAGTATGGGACATCCACAAGATATATTAATGAGTAATCTATCATATGTGGTTTCAGCTTATGGATATTTTTTTGTTGTTTTGTTAAGTAATAAAATGTATTATAATTTATGGGGAATATCACATAAACTAAGTGCAACATTTATTTTTACTTGATAGTCCGAACATCTATAGCCTAATGAAGTTCACTATCTTATATACCTTTTAATAAAGTATCTTTTTTTTAGTTTATATGTTAATCTGGCAGCCCATAATATTCTGTAACCTTCATTAGTTGATAATCCATTGCTTTAGCTTTTTCTACTGTTTCAACTTGCTTCCTGTGATCTTATTTTTTAATGATGGACCACAAGTGTTCTATTGAATTAATATCTGGATGATGCCATTCCATTAATTGGGTGTCTTTGAAACCCATTTTGATAAGTGAAAGAGCATTGTCTTCAATGAATAGCTTAATGCTTTTTATGTGGTTCTACAGAAGGATAATGAGAATAACAGGGACCAAACATGTGAGCAATGACAAAGTTTCAGAGAATAAGGAAGCAAAAGGACACTTATACTTAGAAATTTCAATTGTCTCTTTCTGATGCTATGACACATTGAGGAAGAGGACTTAGAAAATATACAAGACATTGAAGGCAAGAGAGACAGAGGAAAGCAGTGCATAACCTATCTGATGAGCTTGGTAGAATAGGGATTAGGAGAGACAGAAAAAGACAATTTATTAAGAGCTAAAAAGACAGGAAATTCTGGAAAGCCTAGATTTTCAACATCTTAGAAGGACATAAAGAGGGTTGTGTTATGTACAACTCAAAAAATGTATTGCCTAAGAACATACATTAATTCTATGCATTTATCTTATCAACTTTGAGGAGACTTGTAATTATACTGACTATACCAACTATTTCCTTGTATAACCCACCCTCTAATGCAGCCATCATGTTCATCCAATATAGCTCTATATTCATCACTAAAAGATACTGTGAAGAAATCAGTTTTCATCCACTTTCCTCAATTTATACGTTTCTCTTCCTAACAGTGGTAGTTTGATTGCTTTCCAGTTTTTAATCAATGCTCTTACTGTTCTGAATTTTGTTTACATTTGCAACACAAGCTTCTTGAAATATTTTTCTTGTGGATTAATCCAGTTATTACCTGTTTAATTTTTCTCAGATCTCTTTATGAAATTCTTAAAACCATTTTTCTTTTTCACTACTTGTTCTTTGCTTACCAATGTTTTCATTTTCTATTTTGTTTGTTCTATTATCTACAGACATTTTTTTAATTTCCAATATTGTGCCCCCATAACTTGATAACTACAATATCTTGCTTCTTGTGTAAAACCTATGACAATTTATATATATATATAAAATTAATAGCATAATTATTGATATTTATACTTTAGAGATATTTATTTATAATATTATGAACAACCCTTGAGTTAGATGGAATTTCATGCTATCAAATATGTTACAAATACAAAATCTAATATTATAGGTTGAAATTCACTTGGTAAAATTTCTAGGATATACCAGCGTTTATAAATATACTAACATCAGTTAACACCAATCTTATTATGCAAAACTCGACATAATAAAGAACTCCTTGTGTGTTACAAATTTTATTATGCAGTTTTTCAAAGACATCTAAAATGATCTCTTGTTCAATGCTAAATTTATTTTATAAAAAAAAATATTAAACATTTCCATGCATTTTATGCTCATATTGATAAGTCTGAATTAAAAGCAGTTTTGTCAGATTTCTATTAAAATATCCTTTTCTCTTGTTTTCTGTACCAATGATCTTGACATGCCTATTGTTCACCTGGCTACAAAAAGCATGTCTGCTATATTTCTAACTCAATCTATTCAGTAGTTCTCTAATCTGTACACCTTGAACAGGTACACAATCTCATCAGATATGTTATAATAAATATATTCTAGTCCAACAACACTTATCCAGGATGGAAAGCTTTGATAAGTTAATTACAAAAGCTGGTAAACAATGTACTGCTTTAATTACCATAGATTTGTAATACTGCCTTCAGTTGTAACAAGAATGTGACCTCATGTCCTTCCCATAATCAATTAATCTTTAACTGCAGGTATTGTCACTCTGGTAAGTTTCTCCTTTCTAGGGCCATATGGCCATATCACTAGTTCCCCTGCGATCACTGAAGTTAAGCAATGTCGAGCTTGGTCAGTACCTAGATGTGTGACCATTTGGGAATAGCAGATACTGTAAGCTTGGACATGCAGGTAGTGTAATGAATAATGGCTTGGCATTGTTAATTTTCAGAGTAGAGTTCCAATTTAAGTTGGATTTGTTATAGTCAGTTACATACAAATACCCTTGAAAAAGGTATAGATCCACTTTTTGTCCCTCCAGCTATGGGTTAATTAATTTGCAAAATTTGTATCACAAAACTCTTACCCCACCTCCAAATTCTTAGAATCCAAAAAAAAAGTCATGGCTTTAAATAACCTGCAAAATGAATCCTCCAATCCTTTTTCTCTAGAAATGCTGTTAACGCTACTAACCCATTTCCTTACTGTGTTTATATTACGTTTTCAACAAATATTTGCTAGCCTCTGAATATATTCAGCACTTTTCTCCCCCCCACCACCGCCCACAGAAAAAAAAACAAAAAAAAAACACCATCATAAATTCTATGACAGTTCACAGCTTCAAGAGAAGTAGTTATTTTGAAAAAGGATTATATGTAGGAAAAGATAAGATAATGTATTTTCCTTCTGGCCTTCTACACCGACACCAGGAATTCTGACGTCTTCTATATACTGCATCCTTTCAGGACGTGGGTGATCATCAATATCCACAACTTTCAATCCTTTATAGTTTTTAACAATGATTGTTTTTCATTATATCTCCCAATCTATGTTCTACCATCCATTTACACAAGCCCATTATGTAGGTTGCTCACTGCTTTCCTCTGTCTGCCTCTCTTGCCTTCAATATGTCTTGTTAGTGTCAAATTCTCCAATCTCCCTTTCTTCATTATGCGTGCTAGAAATTTCAATTATCTCTCTATTATTTTAAGTACTATTTTTATTCCTGTTTTCTTTAAAACTCATTCACATCTTTAGTCCACAGTATTCTCAGTTTTCTTCTGTAGAACCACTTTTCTGTTGACTTCATCTGTAAGGAGATTGTCCAACATTTAATGGAAGACTGATAATTACATAGGTTTAATACATTTTTTTTTCTTTTCTAACAAAATTTTCCATTTTATTAATACTTTGCTTAGATTTACTTTTAAATAAGAACAGATATTACTTGTTGATTGACCCTCATATTTTGTGAGATCAAGTAAATGAAATTTCATCTATAACTCACTTAACCATCATGCCATTGTTTAGAGTTAAATGTTTTTAACTGTTCAATTTTTTCTTAAAAGATACAGATATATAAACTAGTGTTTAAGTTTTATACCACTAAAGCACCACCATATCCAACAGTAAATCAAATAAATTAAAAAAAAAAAAAAAAATAACAAAGCTATTATAATAGAAAAAAGTGACAAATAAGTGGAAATATGAAGTGACTGTGGGATACTTCCTCTGTTGTTGGTAAGTGCCACATTCATTGACCAGTTTGGCAGTAGCAAATATTTCAAGTGCCAAGTGGAAGTACATAAGTTTCTTATATTTACAGTTTACTTTAAGCATTTTAAGTGGAAATATTATTACTTTGAAATTATTTTTTTAATTCAACATATTTGACTGCTACTTAGACAACAAATATTGTCATTGTTGAAATGTAGATACATGATCATATATTCCCAGTAAAAAAGACACTAACATTTAACAAATAGGGCAATATGTGGTGTGTAAAATATATATGATATATAAATGTGAATATCAGTGTGTCACTGTGTCACACTTTCTCAACCTTACTCCTAGAGGGCATAGCCCAACATATCATAGCATTTTGGAATTGGGGCCGACTTCGTAGGCAAATTAAAAACATTCCATGCCAGGTCTGGACCAGCAATCATGAAATTTTGGATTCCCAAGTTATTACTGAATTTTTTTTTTTTTTTAATTTTTTTTTTTCTTCCCCTGGTAAATTTTTTTTTTTGTATGATAACAATTTTTATAACTTGGAAATAAATTTGTGAATAATCAAAACTAATTGTGAAATCCAGTGAAAATCACAATGAAGTTAAAAAAAAAAAAATGTTTGTAGGGAAAGTAAGGACCTACATACATCACATTGTTTAAATTAAGTCACTTCAGAAGAATTATCATTAAATTTTGAAAAGGTAAGTTTAAATGTTAATGCAATACTTAAATGCAGCAATAAATTTTGAGTTCTTCTATAGTTTATTGTTGTCTATTGCATCTACTCCCTACCTTTTGTGATGAAGGCCCAATTAAGAGCTCTCTGCAGGAGCTAGCTTAAATGCTGCCTGATAGGGTGGCTTTTGAGCTAATATATATATATATATGTGTGTGTGTGTGTATATATATATATATATATATATATATATAGTCAGTCAATGACAATTATTCGTACACCCATCATCTTGAATATTTTTATCCATTTCTCAGAATCTAATGCTTGTATGATGCCAGTTTTTATATGTTAATAAGCACAAAAAACAAATATAAAACTCAATTTTCAGAACAATAGGTTAAATACAACAAATTTGACAGGCGAATTATGCAAAATAGGAAAAGACAAAATTATTCGTACAGTAGAAAATAATGTTTTAAATTGATTGATTCTTGTAAGTATAAGTAATTTACATAATTATTTTATTGGTGAATCCTTCTAGACTATTTATTCAGTAGAATATTTGTGATAAATCCAGCAAAGAACATTACATGATGCATAGAGTGTCACCATTGTTATTCTTATGTTAACCACATGATGGGGAAGACAAAGGAGCTTAATGTTGACTTGAGACAGAATTATTAACTTCCACAAATCAAGAAATAGTTAAAGCGATATTTCAAATCAAGTAGCTATCCCTAGATCTATGGTACAGTCCATTATAAAGTTTAAACAGTTTGGCATGACAGAGAATTTGTCTGGGTATGGAAGAAAACTCAAATTGTCACTGAAAACTGAGTCATGAGGTTAATATAAACCCAAGAGTTGTTTTGAAAGACATTGCCAAAAATTTGGATACGATGAGTATAAGCAGAAGTGCTCGCACAATACAACATTGTTTAAATAGAAATGAGTTGTATGGAAACTGAGCATGACGAGACCCTCTTCACAAACCATGTCACATAGTTGCTCAGTTTAATTTTACCAAAACTTTCTTGAACAAAGAAAATTGCTTTTAGGAACAAGTACTATGGAGTGATGAAACAAAATAAAAATATTCCAAATTGATGGGTGTACAAATAATTTCATCACTAACTCAAAGGCAAAGCGTGAAGATTTCCACATATTATTAAAAATAATTAATTTTTTTTTAATGTTTTTCAATGTTAAATATTCTCGATATGAAACATTCTCTTTTTGTGTGTTAGTGTCCCAAATGTCTTTTATTTTTTATATATATATATATATATATATATATATATATATATATATATATATATATATATATATATATATATATATATAAAAGAGAAGTAGTATCAATTCCTCCTCTCTACCTGACACCCGTGTTAACAGTACTGACATTTTGTTCATTTCAACATTTTTTTTTTTTTCCTAAAAATCTAAAGGGATTCAACTACAGTCACTTTTCAATTTCATTTTTGTGTCTTTAATCAATCTGATGCTTTCTGTTCATTGTTAATTATCCTCATTTCTTAACTATCATTTAAGTAGTCATTATTTAAGAAAAAAAAAAAATGTTTTTTTCTGTGTACACTGGCTGCAGTTGAAAATATTTGATTTGATTTCTATCATGCAGCATTAAACTTTTAGCTGGTAATGAAATTACTATCTTGAATTCCCTGCATGGTGAGGATTCTCTTGCATATAACGGTTGCTTGCATTCCTGGCCAATAGCCAGATGTTATCTTACTCACCCACACCTCCATCTGTTCACCTCCCAGATCTTTCAAATAAATCGTTAGACAAATATGACTTGTCGTGACTCTATTATTATTCAATGCTTAAGTACTGAATTGTTTTGTTGCAGTTCAATTGCTTGGGAGAAAAACAACAAAAAAAAAAAAAATTGAAACTCGTTCAATTTTTTTTTATCTCTTCTATGGGGTAGTCATTAATGGTCACTCTAAAATCATAAAAATTGACTGCTTTTTTTTCCCTGTTAAACGCAGGAAATACAAAAACTTAATGGAAAAATACAAGGTTTTGTCCATATGTAAAGTGAGTACTAAAAATCTTTTGGTTGAACTACCTCTCAGAATTTGACCAAATGACCATACTTTTTGAATTTGTTTTGCAATTGGGCCAAAATTTTTCAGTGCCCTCCTACCTATTTTTTTTTGTGTGAGAGAGAGAGATTGAGTGAATTAACTCCAATCTAATATTATTAGTTTGCTCATTTTGATTCTTTTTTTTTTCTCCATTTTACTGTTACTATTTTTCTTGTAACACTGCAATCCTTTCTATATTGCCATTAAGCAACATAAGTAAGAAATAAAGAACTCACTTCCAATGAGATTTGAACTTGTATCCTTGAGAACTCATCTGGCATAGATGACACTTAGTTCATTTGTACACCAGAATTCCCCCCCCCATTTAATTTTAATGAGTTTATCTTTCAAAAAACAAAAAAATCCAGGCAGCCTGTTAAGTCCATTACCATTTTTGTCAGTAATGTCTCAGTATCTAATCATGAAAAATAATTACAGTGCCTAAAATATAAAAGTGGAAAAAGGTTTATTTATATCAGCAATTTCGTACAAATCATTGACTCCCTCCTATTCACTGCTAACAATCATGAAATCATAAAATGTCCCCCAAATACTCTGGAATAATATATTAGTAAATGGTCAGTTCTTAAAGGTCAACAGATTACTAGTAAAACATCTGTTACCTGTTATTTGTTTTCTCTAGGTAGTTTAATCTTGCACTTTTGTTAATCTTATTTCTTGACATACAAAAATCATTTTAATTATATTATTAGCAGTATACCATAGCAAAACTTCACAAACAGTTTCTTCTGTGATTACAAGTTGTTATTGTGTTTTATAGGCAATGTTGAAATTTTTAACCGAAGTTGAGAATAAAAATTTATCATGCTTGTTTGAAATTATCACTCAGTCATTGAATTCTTTTCAGATTCAATGG